GGGGGGGGGGAAGAAAACTCGCGGGCGAGCGGTTAGTTACCCCTCCTTCCCTCGCGCGTACTCTCCGCCTCGCTCTGCTTGCCATTCAAAATGGCGAGCTTTTGTGGAGGATATAAACGGCATAAATCACTCATATTTGTAATACAGAAAGTTCACACAGACAAGATTAAAAATATAACAAGCTGTCATTTTATTCTGACAACACCAACTTAATTTCCATATCTTTGGGTCAAACTTCATGAAACGCTTTACACAGAGACACCGGCGTGTCGTCTGGCTTAACAGGCACGTAGCGGCCACAAAGGTTTTATTAAAAGCACGTTAAAGTTTCTCGCAAAACAGTAACATGCCACAAAATAATAACTTACTGAGATTTTTTTTACAAACATTACTGAAGTGCACTTTATAAATACTCCTACGTCTACTGGCCTATTTTACCAACAATAAAATCTACCCCATCGTATATTATCAGCTACAAAAATAAATATGTCGCACACATATATTTTTTTTCTGTTTGTTTTTTAGGTTAAAAACTATTTTATCAGTCTTTACTCAACATGCAACGTTTCTAAATAAGGGCAACCACAATTATCTACCTAAACTAGAACAAAGTCAGGCCTTGTTCATCATCGACATGTTGTTTGGTCGCCAAAGCTAAAACGGGCTTTTTTTTCGTCCTTTTTTTTGTACAATTATAGTTAAAACAAGTTATATCAAGTCTGAGTAAAGTAATAACTGCAAATGAAAAATTGAAAAAAATCCGCAAAACACTTAAGCAGACTATGTACAGAAATACTGTGCAATCAGAAAGCGCAATAAATTAGAATGCTGTTAAAAATGCTCGGAGGAAAAATCCTGACAACGATAACAAGTTCATAACCCTTTGCCTCCACGAAAATAATCTTCCGGAAATAATGTTTAAATACAGTTTACTAGGTGAACAGAATTAAGATTATTAATCATGTGTCTTTGTACCTGAAGACAATAAAACTAGTTTGAAAAAAAACCTTCTTAAATGAATGATCTGGAAAACGAAGGCTAGACGCAACCTGATGTTTAATTAATAGAACATCACTATTGCTGCGGACGACAAAGGCTTTTTTTTTGAAAGAGTTTGCTCCTAACCAAGCCAGGCCCAGCCCGCCTTCAAGAGCAACAAGATTTGAACGAGACAAAGTGGAAGTCCAGAAAGTGACAGAGCTCTCACGGAATCACATCAGAATTGCACTATTAACATTACCAATGCAAAAACACTTCGCGAATTAAAACTAAATAGAAAAGTAAAATAGTTCAAAATAACGAAACCACGTGCCATTAAACTGTCAAAACAAAGATTACCCTGAAACAAAGCGCACAAAAACCTTCTAAAACAAAAATCCGCGACAAAATGCATTAACAAAACGGATAAAAATAGCTCAATAAACTCCAAAGAAGTATGGCCATACAATGAAATTTTTGGAAAAGAAAATGGCTTAATTATCAAAGAAGAAATCGCCTTGTGAAGATCTTAACTGGTTGCAATGAACTGAATGCTATAATTTTCCCATGAAAAGTAAACTGCAAGAGATTTTTTTGTTCTTCTATAAGCGATTTTCATTTTATGACAATGAAATAGACTGGTGGTGAAAAATCCTTTACCACATTCTAAACCATTCATTTTCGTTTGTGTACTTTAGTATAAAGCTAACCATCGATAAATAATTTCATCTTGTACACAAGAGAGTTGATTTATTCAATTTTTTTTCATAGGTAATTGTACATGATAATCTTACCCAAGCTTGAACAAATTATGACGGCAGGGTATTCTACTAGCCATTGATAGGATTTTTACCTGACCTCAATATTTTTCCCACGTTTGTGTAAAATAAGAGTGAATTGTAACACTGCGCTCGGGTTTCATTCGTGCTGTTGATACAGTCGCAACTGCCATTCTCTTACCTTAGCAACATCATCATGTACAATCCCCCATTTGATGTGGGTCACACCAACAGCCAACAGCAGTATAACCACCAATAAATTTATGAGCTACACTAGCAGCCATGAGACTATGGCATGGCGAAACATAATTCAATACCTCAAAATGTGAACATATTCAAAAACTTTAAATATAAAGATGAAAACCTCAAACAACACTACAAATTATAGCAAACTATTTTTTTTTCATGCAACTGCACGAAACAGTACCAAACACCAGTGCAAACAGCATAAAACCTTGCTGTTCTGGTCCATCACCAATGATGCTTGTCCCTCTTTCATTGCTTCCTTTTAAGCACTGCTGCTCTTACTTGTACGAGTCAGTGGTCTGAAATAATAAAACAAAACAAGCAGCTTAGACTAAATTTCAAGCCGTGGGCTGGTAGATTTTGTAAGGGGTTTTAGGGTAGCTAACGCCCTGTCCCGGGTATAGTGGAAGGGTCACTCTCCTACCCAAGCTACCCTGATGGGCAAACCAACTTTCCATACATTTCCTTACAAAACGTGGCAAAAAACTGTTTACATGAGAAACAAAAAAGTTGGCTTGGCTAAGAGGGTGACACTTGTAGTAAGGAGCTTGTGCCACACGGCTAGGTAGGATGCATTTTGGCCATCCAAGGGGGAAACTAATCATGGTTCCTATATGAGAGCAGAAAATGCATGGGAAATTATTGTGGTCAGTTTGTTGATTCAAAAATGGAAATCCACAATTTCAGCATTTTTGTTTTACCTGTGCTGACGATATCCTTCAATAGAGTGATGCCATAACCAACACGAATGACAGTAGTACTTGAAACAGGATTCCTCTCGACAGAAGAAGGGGCCCGTGGTAGTACGACAAATGTCACACATAGAGTCCTCTAAATATGGGTCAACTTGGACCTGCAAGTTTAACCATTGTAGGGAAATAAGTACAATAATATGGACTGCTTTAGTCCGGCAACCTCAATAGGGCTGTTATCAAGGACCTGTTGGTTCTGCCAAGCTGTTAGACTACTATGGACGAAAGAACATGTTGAGAAAGAATTGTTGACTTAATGCTTTATTTTGTCTTGTAAGGAGGTAAAAATGATCTACAGCTGCAGGGTGCAAAGAACATCATTTTTACAGCTTGCCATTCGGGCAAGCTGAAGCTAACATTTTACTCGCCCAAACATCATTTCAACTAGCCCCAAAAACGTTTTGATGAGCATATTGATTTCACAGTACTTCTGTATTAAATTTGAATTTGTCGAAAAACTTTACTTGCCAGTTGGGCAAGTTAATAACAGAATTCACTTAGCCTGATAGCAAAATCCACTAGCCCGGGGCTATCAGACACTACACTACTTTCTTTGCACTCTGAGCTGACTCTAAGGTGAAAAGAAAAATTTGTAAATTGGTGATGCCTAATTTGTCGAAAGCATACATTCAACATCAGATAGCAGCACTTGCCTTCTTCACAAATTTTGGGGTCTCAATCTCTATGAAACCCGATCTTACAGCTTCCAGGAAACTTTTCTGATTGTTAAATGTAATGCGGCCAGAACCTGATGAGGAAAAAAATGAGACTGTTAAATTTGAAAATCAGGCTTCCCCAGTACCCTATAATAAATGAGGCATTTCATAAAAAATTATTGGATGAGGTTTTTTTGATAGCAAGAATAATGAACGTCAAGGATGGTAACAGTTAAAAAGACCTTGCAAAGTTGATTATTCGGGACATCACACAAACTGAACCTAATAACTGTTTTAATGAGGTTAAATAAATATTTATTTAACAGAGTTAACAACAAGGAGTGCGAGTGTGGTCAGCGGTCAGTCATTTGGCTCAAGCGCGGTCAGCCTTGCTTGCATCACCTCCATGTGCTCAGTACAGTGTTTTCGTGGCGGCCATTCTCTTCGTTTAGCCTTTGGATCAATCTTTTACCCCCATCCCTCCCCGCCTTTAATTCTTTCACTGTTGACGGGTGCCTGGTTCCATTGGCGTGGGGGCTCATGGCTGGAGGGCGTGGGTTTGCCAGCCATATATGAGGGTGTAACTCTGTCTAGGGGCTGGCTGTGCCAAAGGTGGAAGCGCCTGGACATCCCAGGCACCCACCTCCACTCAGCGACGCAGTTGTTAAATGTTATAAATTATTATTTTGAAGAAAATAACGACAAACACACCATCGAGTGGAACACAGTTTGACACTGCTCTAGAAAACCACACAAAATTAACTTTAGGCTTGTAGCCAGCGAGAAGACACATAGTGAGTAAAATGTATAATAACATAATCTTACCAATGGGATAGCGATGTTTATCTGTGTCAATACCAGCATAGACTACCCCACCAAACAGTTCATTCATGATATATGCCAGGCCCTCTGCACAATAGAAATGAAAACAGTAGTTAGTAAGGTATTCTATAAAAAGGTGTTAATCACTCATACAAGAGGGTTTGAGCCCTTCCATGCTGTACAGTACCTCTCACAGGGCCACTAAAATGTGTGGAAAAAACAAGGGAAGGGTATGCAAAGAAATGCTGATGATGATGATGATGAAACTTTATTAAGGTGTCTAAAGAAGCCTCCTAGCTTAGGTTAAAAAACCCTATGCTAATTAGGGGACACAAAATAAATAAATATAAATATAAATATAAATTAGAGTATTTACATATAAGCGAAGGTATAAAAAAAAATTATGACATTAACAATATTTACAGTATGACAAATATGTCTATGAATTGCAGAGATGCCATGCAGGAAGAAAGATTGCCATTAGACTATTTGCCAGCTAAGATAACGGGAGAAATGTACGAAAAAGCTTGATAGTGCAGAGTTGTTGTTTAGCTTATTTGACGTTCTCGTTGCCGTTGCCATCATCTGATCTATATAAAATCCCTATAACTTAGAAGGGGGTGACATGTCTAAACACAGGCAACAAAGTATTTATAATTTATTAATTGCAGAGCTCCAAGCATCCATTGCTAAGAAATTTGGTAATCTATCCATCCAAGAAGTTTAGGTTGTGACGTCAGCATACACCCAGTGCCTGACCATCTGTACACAACATATAAACCGAAGACAAATGTCACACTTTAATACTAGCTAGGAGTCTAAGGAATATACTATCTGTATTTAACTTGGTATGGGACATCCACATTAAGGTTAATTGACAGCTGTCAAAAAAGGTATCTGCTGACCAGTGTCAAATGACTGTACTGCAGGCACAGGTCTAAAACTCACTCATGGAGGTGACGCATTTTTTAAAAGTCATCCGCTGACCAGTTTTTGGTTTTCAATTGATCGCGGGCTCAGGTCCATTTGTTAAAGGTGGAATTCAGTTTGCTTTCTGCTTACGGCAAAAGTTGAGTTACTTGAGAAGGCCATTTCTTAAAGCATTCCTCAAGAGCTTTGCTTTTGGCCTTGGCTAAATCTATATAATATTGTTAAATAATTGTTGTCCCACCTGCATTAAGCATGCCATGGAGTCCACCAACAAACACAGTCCAACTGGTGTCCAATCTCTGATGTGGGCCACGGACATAGTTGGTGTCAGACAAAACCCAAGGAATCACTTGAACCTACAGAAAACCAAAATCCAGTTTTCATGTAGAAGACAGCAAAGAAATCCATCTTCACAAGTTATTGTCTACTTCAGGTGGAAATATTTTATCAGCATAATAATATTACAATGTGTAGTTCCAGAAAATATCCAGACCCCCACCACGGGGGGAATTAGAAATTCCAGGGGGGTGGGGGGGGTCAGAGGCCCAGGAAATTCCAGAAGGGAGGGGGGTTGGACCATAAAACCACTTTCCAGGGGGGCAATATCATTTTGTTTTCGACCTGAGTTCGAATATTACTTCTTACCGACCTGGTAGATCATTTTTAGGACATAAATAACTTGAAATTTATCACTTAAGATTGTTCCTTTGATCTTAACCAGGTTTCCTTTCTTCCAAAAGCGTTTTGGACGTAATTTCAAAGGAATTAGACCAACTACAACTCGTTTTACCGCACGCTCGTATATTCGCCGCCATTACTCGTTACCAGTCTTCCTCAAAACATCAACGCGTGCAACACATCACGCAACATATCACGTTGCGTCAGTCGATTGATAGATCAGAAGAGTGGCAATTTTGCCTCACGAAGCACAAGCTATACATTGTAACCTTTTTAGAATGTAGAGTTTTTATTCTCCTTTTCATTTTCCCTTAATTTTGTGGTTGAACGTGTGGCATGTTCATGATCGAATTCTCGCTGAAATGGTGTCGATTACGCCAAACATTTATACGGCCATCGCGCATCACGTCGCATCAGTTGATCGAAAAAGAGTAAATTGAACTTGGTTTTCCTTCAAGTACCTTCAAGATGCAGGGGGTATTCATTGTTATCATTTCAGAATTCAGAGTTTTTATTCTGCTCTTTGTTTTGCATTAATTTTGTGGTCGTAAGTTTGACTTGTTCTGCATTCCCGCACGAAATGGCGTTAATGATAACAACATTACGCCCATGAGATGAATAACAAATCGTAGGCTTGCCCTGATTAAGGTAAATTCACAAATATACACGTAACCGACTTATTAACTTTCTGTGTTTCATTTAAATAAGAGGTGAGCAAAAATTACAGATCAGGTTACCTCGTGGTGGTGTAGTGTGTTTTAATGTTGCGGGATCACTGAAATAAATGGAAACAGAAGCATACAAGCTTCTGATGGAAACCGTTGGGTACTAACCATGAGTTGCCTCATTCTTCTACTTTAATAGTCTTTCTTCGTGAAAATGAACTTTTCCAGAGGGGTTGGGGGGTCTTTGTCACACTTGTGGAAATTATGAAGGGGTGGGGGGTCATCGGTTCCCTGCAAAAATGGAAAATCCAGGGAGGTGGGGGGTCCTAAGTGAAATTCCCTCCGTGGTGGGGGTCTGGATATTTTCTGGAACTACACAATACTACAATATTTCGAAAAATTAACGTATGGTCACACGTGTGAAAAAAGTAAAAAATGTCATTTTGCGAGTAGCATAATCTTATGTTTCACAGAGATCATTTTGATGAACAGCTTTAGCTAGATAACCTGTAAAAAAAACATCCACCCATGAGCTTATTTTCAGCTAAAACATAAGCAGAATTTGTTGTTGTAACAAACAATTAGGACTTGGGTTTTTGTATTTGGGACCAATTTTAGTTCCCAAAATATTCATTTACCTCCTTGCATCTCATCCTTCTACTTGAAATCTTGAAGTACCAGTCTCCACCATTACAGAAGTCATGAGTGCAGGATGCTAATAAGGCTTTAACTGACTTCTCAGAATCAAAGATCAAGTACACATACCCTGAAATAAAAATCAAGGAGAATTAAACAACATTACTTTTTTAAATTATTATTGTAATACATACATGTGAAAGCTTCACTTTACAAAAATTTCATCAAGCATTTTAAAAGGCGCACACGAGCCAAATGACCAAACAAACAGAGCTTATCCCGGTTTCCTTTGCATGAAGTATGCCTAGGAGTATGCTACTCCCCCCTGGATAGATGTTAGTCCATCGCAAAAGGTTAGCCGCCAGCAGTATGTCCCCAGTACCCATTTATATACATGAGTGAAGAGAGACAAACTGTAGTAAGTTCCTTGTCTAAGAAAACAATGTTACAGGCGAGGCTTGAACCCTCAACCTCCATATCTGGAGGTCAAAGTGTTAACCACTCAGCCAAACACACCTCCACAGATCAAGCATTACTTAACACTTAATAGCTGTAGGGTAGAGCTCAGTGGCCTCAAGTTCCTCTGCAGCTAAATGGAATCCACGTTCAAATTATCTTTATCTCAGGATGGTGACATGAAAAATATTATTTACATCTTTCCAGTCATGCATTGTTAGGACTACATCTGCATTTCAACAACCATTAATGCCTTGGCCTCCACACTACAGGCAGTCTTAATCAGGTTTTAAATAGTCCAATCCAGTTGTCTGAGACAGTTGATTTCCTTCTGGGTGAATTCCTATTCATGTTCACTTGCTTGATGCCACTTTATGTTCAGTTGCTTTATGGGCAACCCTATTGAGGCCAGTAGTTGATAAATTCAGTACATTAACACACAGCGTTGTGATTAATCATAACAGTAAACCTTACCTTTAGGGGGGTGATGTAGGTGACGGCCATCAGCCTTGCCTGGCCACTCCACTTTGACTGAACCAAATGGCTTGAATGACATGACTAAAGAGGCTAAACAAGAACACAAAGAAATGGCAGTCAAAAGGGTTGAACTAAAAAATGCAGTTCTCATGTAATTATGAGAATGACCACAGCCCACTACGATTTTGACAGACAAGCATTCCAATTTACTTTGATTGACACCTGGAATGGGGGGAGCACACAACAATGTTTCATACAGGGGGCTCTACCCCCGAGGTGCAACCCCTTACCCTTTTATATACCATTTTTAATAGAAAAGGTACCCCTTTCACATACTTTCTATTTACAAGTTTTCATATACCTTCTAAGTAAAAACACTGCACCCCTTTAACTACTGTAAATGAAGAGTGATCATCTCAAACACACCACCTTTATGTCTCACATGTTCACAAAAATGCTGCTGACATTTTCCCCCACACATGTTTTCGCAATACATTGTAGTAATTACCTTCTGTTATATCCCAGGNGATTAATCATAACAGTAAACCTTACCTTTAGGGGGGTGATGTAGGTGACGGCCATCAGCCTTGCCTGGCCACTCCACTTTGACTGAACCAAATGGCTTGAATGACATGACTAAAGAGGCTAAACAAGAACACAAAGAAATGGCAGTCAAAAGGGTTGAACTAAAAAATGCAGTTCTCATGTAATTATGAGAATGACCACAGCCCACTACGATTTTGACAGACAAGCATTCCAATTTACTTTGATTGACACCTGGAATGGGGGGAGCACACAACAATGTTTCATACAGGGGGCTCTACCCCCGAGGTGCAACCCCTTACCCTTTTATATACCATTTTTAATAGAAAAGGTACCCCTTTCACATACTTTCTATTTACAAGTTTTCATATACCTTCTAAGTAAAAACACTGCACCCCTTTAACTACTGTAAATGAAGAGTGATCATCTCAAACACACCACCTTTATGTCTCACATGTTCACAAAAATGCTGCTGACATTTTCCCCCACACATGTTTTCGCAATACATTGTAGTAATTACCTTCTGTTATATCCCAGGGCACACCTCCAAGAAAAACTTTAGTGGAGTAGCTTGGGTTCTTATAGTTACGACGAGGAAGCTGTCCAGACCATTTCTTCATATTGCCTTTGTTATAATCTACACCTGGTCATAAAAAGCGCAATTTAAGTCTAGTAGTTATTTGTATGACAGAAGAACATAACCTGTAATTGTGAACAAGAACGTAGACAAACATTAACAAAATTAAGCCACAATAAATTATATAGCACTAATAGTTATAAACAAATCTAAACCAGAGCAGTCTGAGTCTTGTCATTTAATACTATTATGGGGAGGGGGGAGTCAGTATCATGATTTGGGTTACAAAGGGCTGCTGGAATTCCTGCCTTTCATTTTGCTTAACACGCTAACCTGATAACATGTGAGTCAGTCCTTGCTGCTGCAAGTACTCAAATCCCATATTGTCATTCCATAACCCAAACATTGGATTTACACCAGCCCAGCGAGGATCAGTGAACAAGCTCCCATATGACAATTCAGTTGGTGGTATACTGGTAGGTGGCAGGCCAATCTGTCTCGGCTGACAGCGAGGGAACATGGAGGCTGTACGGTAAGATGGTCTAATGGGACTTATGCTTGATTCAGATTCCACTGGAGAAATAGGAGAAAAAGGGAATGCACCAAAGGGGGAAAATGGACCAATGGGAGAAGAGGGAAGGCTATCTGGTGGGGTGTGCATTCCAAAATGAGCACCCCCAGCCAAGAAGTTACCCTGAAATCAACAAAAGTAACAAGATCAATACTCGCACAAAAACCTGTATACCCATTGGCAACACTTTAAATGCAAAAGGCTGGTGTCACGAAACTCTCCTAGAATAGCCAA